CATTTCTATTACCAACTTCTTATTTTCCAACTACGTATTGTTTCCAACTTTTGCATTCCAATTACCAATAACAACTATCCATGCATCTTGATTGCAGGTTTGATCAATTTCTGGCTGTAGCCTACATCAACAAGTCTGGATGGGGAAGGCTAACACTTCAATATTTAAGCTTCCCATAGGAAGCTGTCCCTACCAAAGTGGCCCTAGGCTGCAGTCCTCTGATAAATTGGCTTCTTCAGATCCAGATCCCTGTCAATGACTGCAGAGCAGAGGCCAAAATTCTTCACAATATTTAATAGCTCTCTGAGAGGTGCCATAATGGAAAACGGAGATCGACGAGGGGTGAGAAACTCCAATGGCATAAGAGACCTGCACAAGAACCCTTCTGCAACAGACCTCCTTTAACAAGGGAGTTTGCCACCCAAGGGGCAGCATGAGCAGCTGAGCGGTCCACCTTGGTATAATGCTTTCCTGAAAAGGCGCAGCCTCCGTGAGCTCCCCAGCCTCCATAACTGTCCACAATGCTCTTCTGGCCAGTCAAGCCAGCATGACCCTTAGGCCTACCAATAACAAATCTGCCACTAGGCTGTGGGTGGTAGATTGTGTCCTCATCACGATACTTTGCAGGGGCAATGGCTTTCGGGACTTTCTCCTTCAGGGCATCCCTCATCTCAGCAAGAGAAACATCTTCACCAAGCTTAATGGATATAGCAATTGTGTGCACTGTGAGGGGACCCACAGCACCTCGATCCTGCATATACAGCACAGTCACTTGAGTTTAGATTCTGGGCGTAACCAAGGTAAAGTGCCATTGTGACACTGTTCAGCAAATTTAGCACTGAGCTTGTGTGCTCAGACAATGATTAAAGGCATACCATACATTCTTCAGTTTGGTCAGTGGCATTACCAAACATCAAGCCCTGGTCTCCTGCACGAACCTCCTCATTCTGGTCAAGGTGAACACCTTGAGCGATAGCTGGTGATTGTTGCTCCGATGCTACCAGAACATTACAAGTCTTGTAGTCAAATCCTTTGGAAGAATCATCATAGCCAATGTGTTTAATGGTTTCATGAACTACTTTCTGGTAGTCCACAGCAGCTTTGGATATAAATTCCCCAGCAAGAAAAATCCTTCCAGTTTTAGTAATAGTTTCACAAGCCACTTTGGCATCAGATGGGTCCTACGAAAGGTGGACATCAAAGACAGCATCATTGATCTGGGTCACAAATCTTATCTGGGTGCCCTCCTCGTGGAAGCCCTTGAACTACCATGGTGAGGTGGTGGTGAGTGAAGGTGGAGCGGAAGAAAAAGGGCAGTGGCGAGGCAGTCGGCTGGGGAGGCAGGCTTCCACAGGACTCTCTACGATGGTGCGGACCGAACCTAAAATCCATACTTTTAAAAATAAAAAAATCCATAACTAAGATTTTATTAACTGTTTTACAGTTTTTGAGTGCTTTCAAATACTCAATGTATTTTATATAATTTTCAATTTGGAATGTATTAATAGGCATGATGGAGATTGTTACCAAGGGTGGTAATTGTAACTTGTTTTAATCATGATTACAGTCAATCAGGATAATAGAAATATTTTAATGGCTTATTGATTTATTGTCTTTCTTAGATGAAAACTTTTCAGTTCCTCATAATAAAAGGGGAGTTCTTGGAATGGTCAACAAAGGTCGTCACAGTAATGGATCACAATTCTATATCACACTACAATCAGCTCCCTATCTAGATAGAAGATATGTGGCCTTTGGGTATGTACAGTGTCTGTCTAATATTTATACATGTAAAAAATATGGTTCAAAATACTTGGATAAGTATACACATAGTCTATGGGTAACTGAAGATCGAATTTAAATGCAAAAGAAATATATAGACGAAAATGATATTTTAAAATTTTAGAAGTAGACATTTCATAAGTTTGGTATGTTACATTGTTATTTTTATTAGGTGACATTGATTTGGTTATTGATCTACAAAGAACACAAAACACCACGTAAGCCCAGCCATTATAATGTTACCTCTAGGCATCTATTCTTTTGTTCGTTCAACTATCCATCTTTAACTTGAAGGATATTATCAATTTCTAAACACACTGTGATGCACTTAATAATACAGATTTAGATGCAGAGGTAAGGAAATGTGGTCATTTACATAATTGCCCATGAACATCATGACTAGATGAATGGAAAGTATGTTGTAAATGACTTTTTACTGACCAATTTTAAATAAGGAAACATCTCAGATCGTAACTATTATCGTATTTGGGGAAAAGTGACCGCAGATCCTTATAGGATGGCCTTGGGTGGGAAGGACACTTGTTCACACATAACCATCCTCTTGAGTCTCATTAGTAAGTACTGTCACCACCACACTAGCCTCAGGGAGGCACTGTGCCTCCTTTTATTGTCCCAGCCCAAGTGTGATCTCCGAAGCGCAGCAGAGGCTGGGCTGGAACCTCACAGGTCAGAAGGGATGATGCAGAAAGGGTAAAAGCATAATAGACAGATAACCACAAAAGGGTACTCTTCCGGGGATCTTTCTTGCTCAGCTGTAAGGTTGCCTCTAGAGGTAGACGCTTTCTCCAAGCACCTCTGAGTTTATTAGAGCTTCCAGAAGCCCACACTGCAGACGACCCAGGGAGAAATGGATGTTTCATCTTCCATCTGATAGAGGCCTCTCCTTCCAGAGCTCTAATTTCTGGTACCCTGCCTCTCCTACAAGGGAGACTACCGACCATTGAGCTTGGCCTTGCTCCATAGTCTGAGGGAAAGAGTATCAGTATAGGTCTGCAAGACCCCTATTTGTGGAAGAAGTATGTAGATGCATGAGAGGAGAGCATGTGCTA